CCAAGTGACTCTGTCTCAGTTTTCTCTTTTGCAAGATGGGATTAAGGACTTCCGCCTCTTGGGGCTGGGAGGCTGTGGGTGGTCAGGGATGACCTGGGACCCTCAGGAGCAGGCCTTTGGGCTGCAGTGCAGTCTGCTTCCTTTGGGGCAGAGGGTGCTGGGGCCAGTGGCCTGCAGTGTGCACCTCCTGTCTGCTCGGAGTGAGCCCTGACAGGCTGGGCTCACAATGGTGACCCAAGAGCCACCAGCCAAATGAAATTCAGGCCCAAGGACACTCAGCAAGGCAGACCTGGCCACACACCTGGCAGCCTAGGGCTGGTGGCCAGCTATGCAGTGTCCTCTGTATGGGAAATGTGGGCAAGAGTTTGTCACTTCTGTTTGGGAGGACAGATTTAGTTCAGAAGTTTGGGATCAGATCTGGCTTGCCATTATTTTTGTGGATAGTTTTATCTGAATGGCACGTGTCCTCGGTCCATCTATTGTTCAGGCTGCTCTTGTGCCACAGAGCAGAGCAGGGTAGTCGCAGCAGGCCGTGGGGGCCACAGCCTAGAATATCGACAGTCTGGTTCTTTACAGAGAAGTTACTGACCCTGGCCTGCACCAGTCCAGGGCTGGGATGCCCACGCAGGCTTTGCTGCGGGTAGATCCAGGGAAGGGACAGGACTTGCGAAGGGCCGTGAAGGGCTTCTGGAAGCAGGTGTGGGCGCGGCACAGGGCAATCCAGGCCCCTGATGTCGGTGGGCTTGGCTTCAGGGCAGATGGTGGTCTAACAGGGGCTTCAGAAGAGGGGCTCTAGCCCAGCTGGGGCGTGAGGTTTCACCTTGTGACGTACTGTGACAGCCATTAGGGGTCTTTGTCAGAAAGAAGCTGCTTGGTGGTGCAGACTGCCAGGGGAGAGGGAGGAGGGGCTCGGACATCTGCCAAAAGCAGCAGGTTACAGACATGGGGAAGATCTCAGGGCAGCTGTTCCTCAGCGACCTTGGGCCACCAGGGACTATGGGTCCCGAGCTGCCAGATGATTTTCCAGGAGAAATCTGCAGTCTGGTTTTCAGGGAAAATCTGATTTTTTACAGTTGGCAACTGGTTTGACTAGATCACCAAGCAGACAGCATGCGTGCCCCTGGCTTGCGGCTGCAGATTGGGAGCTGGGGTTTCCAGGGCCGAGGGGGAAGTGACATGGGAATGGCAGAGGGTCCAGCGAGCCTCTTGCAGAAGACTGCAGGCGGGCTTCAGGCCCCAAACAGAGGACAGGAGGGGCTCTGGGCCTGGTGCAGGCTGGGGAGGAGGTCAGGGAGCAGGGCTCAGGCTTCCTGTCTTGATCTCCATCCCTGAGCAGCGGAGCATCCCTGCCTGCAGGCTGGGAGGTGGGGGTGGGGAGCCAGATCGTGGGATACCTCTGCTTACCTGGCTGACCTCAGGGGGCCTAGGGACCCTTGGAGGGCTCTGAGGGTTCCTCTGAGGTTCTCAGGGGTGCAAAGTGCAGGCAAGACTGTTTGGGGCTGAGTGTGCTGCTCTGTCCTCAACAGCCTGTGGGTTGATGGGCAGAGGCTTGGCCTGGAGCTGGGCCCCAGCTGCCTAGTCCCCTTGCTCCTGGGACCTCTGAGACACGGAGAGACCTTGTCTTGCAGGTTGCCATGGTATCCAAGAGCAAACGGGCGTGGTTTCCCGTGGCATCTGGTGTGCGAGTGACTGGGGTCTTGCTCCCCATCCCGGGAAGCTGTGTGCATGCACCTCCGCAGCTTCAGAGGGGTCTGCCTGACTTTCAGCCTCACAGCCCTGCCCCACCTGCAGACTCGGGAGGCTGCCCTAGGTCCCCGGCGGGCATCGTTAGGGATGGCTATTGTTGTGGCAGGATTCGAGGTTTCAGTGACGGCAACCTGGTCAACAGGGCCGAAGCGAGGAAGAAGATGCCCTGGCTCCTGAGCAGAAGCCCCGGGTTATTTCAGCCTCAGGCAGCACGGGTGCCCCATCGCCCGGTGTGGGCTTCGCGCACAGCCGGGGCCCAGGGCGGGGGCAGGAACAGGCCTCGGGGCAGGTTCGGGGCCCTTCGCAGGAACCGGGCGGAGAGTGACTTCCACCGCCGCAGAGACTCCCAGGGGCGGTTCTCATTGGCTGCTTGGGTCACGTGCGTGGGCCTGGCCCAATCGTTGTGGGCGGGGGGCGGGCCTTGGCTGGGTGGGTCCTGCTGCTGGCCCGGTAGCGGGGCACCTGGCATCCCTCAGGGAAATGGGGATGCCAACACCGGAAGGGGAGTGGACAGGCCGAAATGGCCCCCACCCAGGCGGACCCCCGCGCCGGGCCGGCCATCCCTCCCGACACCGCGCGGCCGAGGCCGCCGCCTCCGCAAGGCTCCCCCTCCCAGAGCCTCCCCTAGATGTCAGGGCTTGGTCCTGGGTTGAAGGGAGCGGTGCCGGCCTCCGGGGCCTTCTTGAATGTTCCAGGCGGCGACCTATTCGAAAAAAGAGACCCAGCTTGTCTGGAGTGGCTTCTCTCCTGGAGGCCCTGTGGGTGCCTCGAGGTCACACCAGAGAAGCGGCTCTGTCATGACCTGTCCGACCGGCGCTGGCACCGTGCTCACCTCCCCAGCGTCCCCCTTTCCTGGCTCCCCTCCTTCTCCAGGAGAGATGCCCGGGGACTCTCCTGCACCAGGTCTCAGGGCCTAGGATTGCATCCTAAGCTACCAGGGCCTCCCCTTCCCCTTGGCTCCTTCATAATCATATGGATTTTCCTCCTGTTTTGAAAGCCGTCTCCTTTAGTAGATCCATTTCCAAAGGAACAGGGGGTTTCCTGCAGAGGCCGCTTGGTAGGGCTGAGACATTGGCTCAGGCCTGGCCTGGACACTGACCCTTTGTGGACTCTTTGCCATGCCTGGGTCCTAGAGGTCAGGAGGAGATAGGCCATGTCTTTTCAGGATTGCAGAATGCTGTTGGCTCAAGTTCTACACCTGGGTGAAGACTGACATACCAGTTACATTTCCCAGAACCTTCCGCCAGGGCCAGGGCCAGGGCCAGGAGGAAGAGGTGCAGACACCCTCAAACTCGGGTCCCCACTACTGCCCCACTTGGGCTGCACATGGTCCTTGAGGGCTCACTCCCCAGGTGCTGCAGGGATACCTGTGTCCACTGATTCACCAGGGCAGGAAGTAGCCAGGGAAGTTTCTGGGAGAAGAGGGGCAGGTGGAGATGGGCCCTGCCCTCCTACCCACAAGCAGCCCACGAATGGCTGACTGAGGATTGGCTGAACGGAGTGTTCTTTTTGCCTCCTGTGAGGCTGACCCTTGGCCAAGGTGGATGGCTTGTCCTGGTGTTTCAGAGGTCAAGGTGTTGACACAGGCAGATGTGAGGTCCCTAGACACCAGGGTATGTTCTTCCTTCTTTAGAATCCTTGGATGGGTCACGTGCATGGGCCTGGCCCAATCATTGTGGGCGGGGGCGGGCCTTGGCTGGGGTGGGTTAGAGGCAGAACCTGATCACACTCACCTGACGGGACACCTTTGACAGCCTCCTCTCTCCCCTGCTGCCTGTTCTCTTTCTGCTCTTTGAAAAACATACCTAAGTGTACACACAGACACACACAGACCCCATCTTGCTTGGTAGCTTCCACCGCTGAGTTATATCCCAGCCCTCGTGTAGTCCTTGCGAAGTCTCCCTGGGGCTCGAGGGTCAAGTTCTCTGCGTGGCCGCCAGGAGCCCGTGTGATCTGCCTGCACTCACACGGCCCACTCTAGCCAGAGGGGCCACCTCCCCAGCCACCTCCATGCCCCCCTTGGCGCGTGCTGTTCTCCAGCCTGGAGTGGACCACCCACCGCTCCTGCTCCCTTCCTCTAATTCCCGGTGCATTTCTGCTGCTGTCATCCTACATGACTCAGCCTCGGGCACCCCCAGCCCCTCCAGGGAGAACTGGCCCCTTTCCTGGTCCCCAGGCCTTTGTGCCTTGTCATGTACTCGTGAGATGGGGGAGGGGATGGGCCTGGATGAGAGGATGACTTGGGTCATCTTGAGTCTGGGTCTGCCTGCTGTCCTGCTGTCTGTGTGGGGCACAGTGAGGGCACAGCCATCGGTCACTGTGGGCTGGCTGCGTCTTTGCCTGGCATCTCTGGCTGCAGCTGCAGGCTGGAGGGTGCAGAGGTGACCAGGAGCTGGAATGGCCCGGAGCTTTGGGGAAGGGAGAGGGTGGCGAAGGGGTCTGCTGCCTCTGTCCCCCTTGACCTTACATGCCTGCCCATCTGCTGGGGCCCCAGGGAGCAGAGCCTGGTCCCATGAAGACGCTCCTTTCCTTCCTGGCAAGCCTCAGTCATTGGGGTCAGCCTCATTCTTCATGAGAATCACAGGAGCCTCGGACACCCCAAGGCCAGGCCTCACCCAGATCAGTGATCCCAGGCTCGGGTGTGGAGCCCAGGCCCCAGGACTTCATAAAACTCCGGGAGAGTCCAGTGTCTGGCCGAGCCTGACCCCGGTTGGGGGTGGTCCTGCCCGATCCTGGCTTTCCCTGGGTCCCTCCAGCCGGCTGGGGCAAGTTGCTCAAGGGGACCCTCCCTTCCCAGCCTTGGCTCCGCGCAAGTGCCCCCCAGGAACCAGGCCGTGAGCTCGTGAGAGGCGCTGGCGTGTCGGCACCAGGTCCAGGTGGCATGGATAGGCACGGGGCTGGCGAGCAGCCCGCTCCACTGGTCACGCTGCGTGGGCTCTGGGCAGGCCCCGTGGAGCTGTGGTCCCGTGGTCACCACGGCAGCGCTGGCCCATGGCCGCCAGCTTGCTTTCGAGGGTCTTCCCTGCAGGGTCTCCTGAGCCTGATCTCAGGACCTCAGCGGCCTCTGCTGTGGAGACGGTGCCCCCCTGGCGGACTGCGTCCCCTTCAGGTGGTGGCTTTGGCTGTCACAGGCAGTGCTGCCAGAGGGCAGGGACGCCTGGCCATGGGAGGCTCCCCTGGGGGGTGGCTGGAGTTCCCGGGTCTCCAGGGATGGCTGCCAGGCGCGACAGAGCCTCTGCGTTTTGTCATTGCAGGCACCACCCGGGCCAGGACCCCCTGCGTCTGAGCTGCCCGCGCTCTACAGGACTGAGGACTTTGTTCCCGTGGACGCCCGGGAGGCAGAGCGCCAATCCCGCTGAGCCTGTCACAGTCCCCTCGAGGGGGTGAGGCTGGGTCCCAGCATTTGGATTTCCTCTGCTTTTGTTGTTATTGATTTTTTGCATTTCTCCCTGAGGGGCCTGGGGCAGCCATGTCTCGGATCCGGTGGCAAGGGTGCCGCCTGCTGCCTGCTATTTTAAGGGATGAGGTGCTGGGTGGGGCAGGCTGTGCCGGGAACCGTGGGCTGCAGTGCGGGCATGTGGCCTGCAGACCCCATGTCCCCAGCCCTGCCTGGCATCCCAGAAAGGTGTGGGCGCTCACTTGTGGTCCGCTGGGAGGACAGTGGGGATGTCAGTTTCTTTTTCGCCCCTCTGAATTTTCTTGGAAGCTGCCCCTGCGCAGTCGGCTTGCTCTAGGCCCCTGGCTGAGGGGAGGCTGCAGAACCAGAGGCCAGGGGACAGCCAGGCCCCTGAAGGTGCGTTTCTTTTCCTTTCTTCAAAAGACAGCTTCCTGGTGTTGTCTGAGTTCTCCAGGTTCTGAAATCCTCAGGGCCCAGCAGACACCACACCCCTCACACTGCAGTGCAGGGTCAGAATGTCAAGGAAGCGTGAATCTGACAAGATGGCCCTGGACAAGCAGGAACGAGTTGGGTGGTGCTAATGTTTGGGAAATCTCTGGAATTAAAAGATAGAGGTGGGTCCTGTGTTTCAGGAAGAGTCAACATTTTTCTCTTGGGGCCACCTTTATGGAAGTATAACACACATTATAGAAAGGGGCCCCTGTGCCAGGCACTGTGGTGCAGGCCTGTACTCTCAGCGACTTGGGAGGCTGAGGCAGGAGGATCACAAGTTCAAGGCCAGCCTCAGCAAATTATCAAGACCCAGTCTCTAAACAGTCTCTAAATAAAAAATGAAAAGGGCTGGGGATGTGGCTCTGGGTTACACACACACACACACACACACACACACACACACACGAGAAAAAAGAACAAGGCACCTTAGTGTGGAGCACTAGCTGCCCACACGTGGAACACATTTGTGCAGCTCGACCAACGCTGCCAGCACCCAGAGCCCCCTGAGGCCCCTTCCTGACAGTGCTCCCCGCAGGCTGGGTGTCCTCCTGTGCTGGCCTGGAGGCTGGAGGGCACATGCACCCAGCACGTTGGCTTTGTCACTGGACCTGGATCTGCAGGAGTGTCCCTGCTGCCCCGGGTAGCTGCAGTGGCCATGTTGTATGGATTGAGGCTGCTTTTAACGAAGAAAGCCTCACACTCTCCGCACCCCCGTCTGCCCAGGGACAGTGGATTGGATGGGAAGCTAATGTTTCAGACAAGCAGTTAGACACCACTCTCGAAGGCTAAGTACAGACACCAGCCTTCTTTCCCCTTCCAGGGCCTGACCCAGGGACCAGGGAGGGCTGGAAGGGATGCCATGTGACCGAGCCATAGCAGTAGAAGGTCCTAAAACAGAGACAGGCAGGGCCTGGCAGGAGGGGATCCTGCGGCAGGAGGGGATCCTGCGGGCGGCGCCTTGCTCTGTGCGCAGCTCAGCTGTTGGGCCGAGCCTCGCTGCTTCCTGGCCACAGCCTCCTCTTCAGGATGACCTATGATAATGGCTCCTGCCCGCTGGCTGTGGTGTGTGCTCGCCCAGCGCCAGCAAGGGTGGCTATGTTGTGGTCAGTGGGCTCAACAGGGAGGACTGTGTGCTGTTTCTCAGGTGAGCAGTGGCACCCAAGGGTCTCAACAGCGAGTGGCTTAGGGACTGCCCTTAAAGGTCACAGAACAAGTCGTGGAAGGGTGAGGTGCTAAGATGCACCAGTTTTCTCGGAGTCTCCGAGGACTTTCCCCAGTCATCGAGGAGGGTGAGGTCACATGAGAACGTCTGTGTGGAAGAGGCCACCAATGACCTGCAGGTGGCTGTTCCAGTTTCCTGGTGTTGAATGGCAAAAGGACACCTGGGGAGAGGGAAGCCAGGACATGGAGCCCACCAGGAATCCCAGCCCAGTCCCTCCAGCTCCAGGGGCCCTGGCCTGGTGCAGGCCCCTGGTGTGTCCACTGTCAAGTGAGTGGAGTCCTTGACTGCCCACTTCCACAGGCCCCCTCCCAGAGCAAGGGCCACTGCAGCCCGGGACAGGTGACTTTGTTTGTGGCTCTTCCTGTACAAGATCACCAGTAGAAAGGTCACTGCAGATTTTCACAAGAGCAAGGCTCCTGGGTCAGCCACCTCTCCACTTTCCTAGGGTGTGGACTTCATGTCCATCCAAGCAAGAGGTGTCCGGAAGGCCGCTCACAGGGTCGGATCTGGTGGACAGAAATGTGTGGTTGGCTCTGAACTCTTTTAGAGTGTTTTTCTGTTGGGACAACTGGATAACCATCTGGAAAAAATAAAGGGAGCTCCACACCTTACTCAGCACGGCTGGCACAGTTCCCGAATCCCAAACGGATCCAGGAGCTGAATGTATAAAGGCATCTAATTAGGAAGTAGGCAGATACACTGGAGAGGGGACAAAACCCAGAAGCCATAAAGGAGAAAATTTTGATTATACATATAAAATCAAAACTTTTGCCTAGTAACACAAAAAGAAAACAACCAAATAAATCCACACAGAAAACAACAAAAATACTCAGTAAATTTAAGACAAATGACAAATTGGGAAAAATGTTTGCAACTCAGTTGTAAAGGAATAATCTCCCTAATATGTAAATAGCACTGAGAGATAAATAAGAAAAAAAATGGGCAAAGGGTATGAACAGGCATTTCATAGAAAAGAAAATGCAGGTGTTTAAACATGAAAAGACACTCAACCTCAATGTATTCCAATAAGTAGGAGAGAATAGTGGAACTACTCTGAGGGGGTGTGGGTGCAGCTCAGCGGTACAGTGCTTGCCTAGCACGTGCAAGGCCCCCCATGGGTTCGTTTCCCAGTCCTGCCAAAAAGGAAAAAAAAATTTTTCTGGAAAACTTTGCACATATCAGGTTGCATTAGAATCTTTAATGACACTGCTGGAAAACTCGTAGACAAACATGCTTTCTTAGGCCTCAATGCTGGGACACCATTCTCCTATCAAAATAAGATGTGTGCTCAGACCCAGTCCTGCAGCTCTCAGAACCCAGATTCTACACGAGAAAGACATGATAAAGCACGACGATGGCCTCTTCGTTGAAATAGCACACAACTGGGCAGAACCCGAGCATTCCTCAGGCGTTGGCTTTGCATGTCCCCACTGTGGAACAGGAGCAGGTTGTAAAGATGGATTGATTGGGAGTTCCTGTGAGTCGGCATGGAGACGTCGCCAAGATATGAAAGCCAAATGCAGAGAAATGTCCATAATATGCTACCATCTGTGCAAAAATGAGAGGCATGAAAATTCTCAGGATAAATAAAAACTGGAAAACAGGGCGTGTGGGGCGAGAGCGTCCTTTCCACTGTACTTCTTTTTCCTTTTTGGTGTTTACCTATTGAGAAAATCCCCTGAAGACCCATCGCCAGCCGCTGGAAATCAGGACAGCCATGGAAACAAGTGGCTCCTCCTCTTCTGACACCTGGGGCGTCTGGCAGCCCTGGGCTCATGTGGCAGCAAGGAGCTGGAGCCTCTGAGGGGCTGAGACCCTGAGAGCCAGAGACCCCGGGCTTGGGGACTTCCAAGGATATGGGGTGAGGAGATGCCAGCGGGTGGCATGTCCATGGCGGGGGATGGCAGCTGCACTGCAGCTCCAGCCATTGGCAGTCTAGGCCACCTCTGTGCCCCAGCTCCCAGATCCCCAGGGATAGGTGGGTCCCATCATAGAGGTGCCTGCTGTCAAGGCTCTTGCTCTGAGGGATGGGAAACAAACCAGACCTACAGGAGGGCTCCACAGCAGCAGCCCTCAAGACCCGGAGGCAAACCACACAGCCGCAGAGGCAGCAACCCAGAAAAGGACCACACACCTGACCAAGCAGATTTCTCCCAGGAATGCAAGGTTGGCTGGTTTAACATTTGAAAAATTAGTATAACACACAATGTTAATAAAGGACAGAGCCCTTGATCATCTCAGTGGATGAGCATAAAAGCTGACCAGGATCCGGTCTCTAGTCCTGAGAAAGCTCTCCTGCTTGGGGTGAAACGGGCTCAGGGAAAGGGGTTACGGTCGGGCAGACACCTTTCCCCATTCTGTTACAGGGTTCCACAGGCCCCTGGACATGTTTCGTGGGCCCACGCAGCTCCAGGCCTCTCCCTACCCATCTGCAGCAGCAGCCCTTGGCCTGGTCAGGCACGCAGGCAGCCTGGGCTGGGGGACCTCAGGGAGTTCTGATGGCAGGCAGCTGTCACAGAACCTCCCTGGGAAAGCACTGAGAGTCGGACGGGCAATTGCCAACTGATGGGTGGAGGCAGTGGGTCTGTGGGTCTCCTAGGTTTGCTGGGACTTCTGGTGCAGGGTGAGTCTGGTGGCTTCCTGTGGGGGAGGAGTTAGGGAAAACGTAGGGGACATGTATTTGTCAGGATGAACACACGGTTCCTCTGAAGAACCGAACCAGCAAAGCCTGTCTCACCTTGCCCACCGGGAGGATCTTGCCAATTCTTCTAGAAGACTCTCTGCTATGGATTTTACAGGAAGTCATCTTCCTGGAGCCAGGTCAGGGGCCCAAGAGCAGAGGTGGAAGAGTGGCCCAGGAGCATGGTGGTGTCCCCAGGAGCCCACGGCTGCTGTAGCAGTGACCTCCAGGGGCAGGAGTTCTTGGGGTAGGCCAGAGCATCCAGGCACAGCCAACAATGTGTTCTACACAGAAGCACCAGGGCCAGTGCCGTCACGTGGCCCTGTGCTTTGGAATCAGCTGGGCAGCACCCCAGACCAATTATGTCAGACCTCTGGAGGGACCCTGAGCAGCTCTACAGCCCCCTAGGTGACTTCAAGCTGCAGCTGGGGCTGGGTCCATTTTCAGGGATACCAGTGGAGAGATTTCCCAGGACCAGCCCCCCTTCCCCTCTGGTTCACCTGGGACACAGGTTCCCTTTAAGAAGTGTCCTGTCCTCACCATCCCTCCCATGCCTTCTTGAGTGCAGCAGGAAGTTGGATTTGAACTGGTTTCTGGTTTGGGTTGAGGGGATCCATCTCAGCTGCTGGGTGTCAGAGCAGCCTTGTGCCTGGCCAAGGAGCTGGTGAAGTGAGCAGGTAACCTCTGCTAAAGAAAGCAGATGTCCCTGGAAAAGCACCTGGCGCCTGAGCCCAGGCTGGGTCAGGAACTGTCTCTCAACCCTCAGGTCAGTGCCCCCAGCAAGAGTCACACCAAGACCAAGCTGCTGATTCAGCTGACGAGTCTCACGTGGCGCTGTGCCCAGGATCCCGCTCTGAGTTTCCCTCAACAAACAGCAAGTCTCAGCCTACAGCTGAGACTGTCCTTAGTTTTATCTTCATTAATGGCAAACTGTGCTGGCTCTCCTCTTTTGTAGTGAGTTTCCGTCATTTAAAAAGCGGGGATGAAGCCCACCAGGAACACAGAGCAGCTGCTGAACTGATGTGGCAGAAATGACAATGCTGGCTGTGGCCTTGGGGATCCTGGTCCCAGACGGCACCAGGTGGCACCTTCCCCAAGCCTTCAGGTCAGCACCTGAACCCTGAGGGGTTAATTCCTCCGCAGGGTCGCCGTCTTCTGTGAGGGCTGGGCAAGGCAGGCTGTTCCAGTGCCCAGCGAGTCCCAGGCATGGCTGCTGTGGGGTTCTGAAGACGTGTTCAGTACACATGGATTCTGGTGGGTCTAGGAGCCACCTGCCCTGGCAGGAGGTGGTCCAGCCCTTGCTCAGAGGCCCTCCCCAGCAACAGGTGCTCTCCTCCTGGAGACGCCAACACAGCTTCGCCCACCACAGAGCGTCGCCAGGCAGGTCCGCAGCTGTCCTCTTCTTGCTCCCAGACGCTGCCTGGCGCACACCGCGGTCCCAGCCTGCACACTGGGAAAGCCATTTGTTTCTAGCTGCTTTATCAGTCTCCTTTAAAAGGGCTCCAGTCTGCCGTCAGGAGGTCCATTTCACTTACAGTAACAAGACTAAAGGTACAGCAAGACTTTTATTGCAAAAAACCAGTTGAGGTTTACATGGCCTTAGGCCTTAAGGCCAGATGGTGGCCTGGAGTGGGGAAGGACAGGAACATTGTATTCTGAACACAACACAAACACAAGAGGAAACTACAACAGTGGGGAATTCTGCCCGATTCCATTCAGCGCCTCTGTTCTGGCACGGACCATGGACCTTCCTGCTGGGTCCTCGTCTTGGACAGGGCATTTGAAATCAGGACTTGAGGATTTTCAGGTGGTAATTTTGACTACATGCAACTTTTACCTCAGACATTGACTTCTGAGCACAAGCCCACCTAAGTCGTGGGATTTCAAGCACATTCAAGTCCCACTGGGTGCTCAGTATTCAGGCTGGAGCAAGCTGATGGTGCAGTAGCAGCATGCAGACAATCACCACAGAGTGGCTGTCCTGTGCCACAGGTTTGGATTTGATTTTGAGCCAACCTCCCAGCAGACTGCTGGATCCACCCAGGGTATGGGCTGCAATGTCTTTTCTCTGGACTCTCCTGGTGACCAGTTGGTGATTGTCATGTTGGAAATATCACCTCAGGATAATGAGAGCAGACTTTTCCTTCCTGTGGTCTTTTTTGAGATTTGTCCGGGTGAGATGTCCTTGTCAATATTTAGGTGAGCCAATCTTGCAACCAACCCTTACCATCTTGGTGAGCCGCGGGGTGGTTAAGAAACGCGGGGCACAGCAGGTAGAAAACCCAGTGCCTCACTTTGCTTTATAAAGCTGACACAGTGCGTTCTATTTAATTTCATTAGGTACAGATTTTCCATCATGCAGGCTAAGAGGCACAGTCACATGGAAATGACCTTGGGCCCTATCTTGAGGGGTCAGAGCTGGCAGTTTGAGATATAAGTATAGGAAGACTCCTCAGCACTGCAGCCATCACCTGGCAAGCAGCAGTTGGTGACAATTAGTCAAGTGTTTTAGATGAGGAATTTCAGTCTTTAACAGAGGGGTTTTGAAAAGCAGACCCTTATTTGGTCCATTTCTGAAATGGGCACCTTAGTAAATGGGCAGGCGTTTGGATCACATAGACACAGCCACAGGCAGTAAGAGGGACAAGTCCATTTCTACTCAGATCTTAAGAGGGGACCTAAAGCTGTTGGATACACTCCTCCCCATACCGGCCCAATGACAAAGAACCAAAGATGGGATTTTAAATAAATTGGTTTGTGCTGAAGAGGGAGGGAAACCTTAGTCCTGAGTCTGACTCTGGGACTCATTGCTACAAGAAAATTTGAAGTGCAAAAAAGCAAAGCTCTCTGGGATGAGTAATTAGGTTTCTTTATTAGAAATCTGCAGAATTGTTCTGCCTACAGTTCTAGGCATTCTAATTGCAAGGTGGTTTTAAAGTTAAATGATCACCAGGTTATTCCAAAAGCAAACAGCCGCAACAAACATTCTTTTAAATGGCTTTTATTGAGACAACTTTTAGGGCTTCTGCAACAATTCCAGTTAGGAGTCTGTTTATTTTCAACTTTTTAAGTGGCTGAAACCATTCTCTCAATGGCAGAAGACCCTTCCACCACCAAAGCAAAGAGGCAGCCTCATCTGCTCAATGTCCAACCAGCAGAGACCCTGGGCCACTCACACCCATGCTACTGAGCAAGTGTCTAGTTCTGCATGCAGGACACCCACCCAGGCTCAGTTCTTCCCACGTTTAAATCAGGCAGAGTTAATTCCCACAAACATGAGATGGCTTCAATTCAGCTGCTATTTCTGACTTGGTAATCTAAAGCACCTTAAATTTGGGGCTACCCTGCCCTCAATGTTGGCTGCACACAATTTTGTAACATAGGCGGTAAAACAGATCTAGAAATTCTGTGCTGGCCCCACAAACCCTACATGTTTAGTTCACTCTTAAACTTCTGCCCGCATTGTTTTTGAGAAGCGTTAATAATCTTTTAGGGAGCATCTCAGGCAACAAGAATACTTCTTGGGAGAGAGTGTTAGAAAGTTATGGAAGTCAGCCACTTTAGACCTCTTTAAGTCAATGTCTCCAGGGGTGACTGACTTGCCACGATATGGACTGGAGCATCCCATCATTTTTGCAAGGATGGAAATGCTGAACTAGTCCTGCTCTTAGCCCAAGTTGCTCTGGGGAATCTGCATAGCAAACGTATCAGCTCTGCACCTCAAGGCCCTGAATGTGGCTCTCCAAAGCCTATTAAGAGTCAAAGGCCTGTTTAGCACAACTGTTCCCATGACGAGGTGAAAAGTAACACTTCATTCGTTTAGAAGAAAAAACTAATTGGGCATTAAGATTCTGCTTGCAGATCAACGCCAATTTTTGCTTACATCCTTTTGTGACATTCATATATGTGTGTGTGTATGTATGTGAGCACAGGCTTTGTCCCTTAACAAAAGGGGAACCGAAGAACTAACGGGTGTTTATACTTTTACAGCTGAAAACACAAAACCAAAATAATCTGTAACAAGTGCCTTGAGAGAAAGCATTCTCTATGTAAATGGCAGATCTCAGTTTTCCACAAGTTTCCCTGGTGAATGTGGCTTCTGTCTCTGATGAAAGAGTGCCATAGCATCAAATGGCACAATATATAATAGACATACAGGTCTGTCGTGGTAATAAAGCAAATATTTACATTAAGCACAATACAGCAATTTATTTAGATGCTTAAAATGAATACAAAGGGAAAAAAAGATCACAAAATTATACATACTACAACAGTGTGTCATATATTAGATGGTATAAATGAACGCACCAGGGTGGTGCTTAACTAAAGATAAACTAAATATCCAAAAGGCAGCACTCATTGGTCTGCTGCTGTAACACAACACACTTTTATACAGATCTAAAAGGTGTCAAAATTAGTAGCTGCAAAGTCAATTCTTGATGTGATTTTTAGCTTAAAAGGTTTCAGAAACAGATCTGAAATACCAGTTTTTGTTTTTGACAGCTGTAATGTCAAGGATATTCAGAACAAGAAAACTTCTATAATACAAGAGAGTCCAGATATATATCTTACGTGGCTGGCCTCTGTTGCAAGATTGTACAAGGTTATGTGCAAAAACTAAGTCTGTCCAAAGGTCCATACTAGCGCAGGTTCAAGCTTTTGCTAGGTAAACTAGATATAGCATTTATTACACAGCAAGGGCAACACTAAAAAAAAGAAACAAATCTATGATGGGGCACACAATAACAATATCATAAGCATCACTTGAATAGGTCTAAAAGACTGTACAAATATACATTTCAACTATTCAGAATGAATACATGAAAAAAAAAAAAAAAATCCAATTTCCCCAAGTCTACTGTACACATGAGACTGGTAGCTTGTATGTTGGCCCTACACGACCATGTGGATCAGGTAACGCTTCTCAAGGACATCCAACCAAACATTGTACAGAGGGAAAGGAATATTGAAAGGCAGATAAAAGAAACCTCTGCTTTTCCTCATGTGCGTTCGTGAGCCACCAGCTTAGGGTTTTTCACATTTAGTTACCGTGTCTGTCAGAGAAGGTTCTGAAGCCGAGATCAGCCAAACGTGCCATAGACTTAGAAATGACCAGTGGGACTGCAGTGGCCATGTGTCCCCACAGCCTGCTGACCAGTCCTCCCAAGGCAGTACCAGTTAAAGAGCTTTGCAGTCAGACTGAAAGAGAGTTCCTGCCGCTGCAGCGTGTCCCCAATGTGGCCTCCCAGGCGCTCACGCCTGCTGGCTGCTCAGTTTAACTCCGGTTAAGCTGCCGTGCATCGGCTCAGCTACTCCATCAGTCATGTTGTCAAACTGCTCCCCGTCCTCACTGTCAATTGTGCTATTCTGCCACTCAATCTGGGGGTTAGGTAAGCGCTCACTGTTGTCTGGTGTGTTCTTCCACTGTGACTGGTCCTTGGACCAAAACCCTTCCACTTTTCCATAGGAACTATTCTTCCACTTCAACTGCTCTCTGTCACCTTGCACGGGAGCCTTTTTTTTGGCAGCTGGCTTACTGCTCCTGGCATCTTCACTCTGGGAAGACTCATCAGACCAGGTTCCTGGTTTTACCTCACAAGTGTTGTCCTCGAAGTCCGACAACTGCTGGGAGCCAGGCCCACTCTCAGAGGGCGAGGCCCCGTCCTTCCACTCAACCACATCATCTTGGTCGACCTCGCTGTCAGAGGCGTCCTGCATGAGTTTGGCTGGCTCCTCAGTCAAATGAACAGTTTCATATTTTGAACCATCCTCCTCTTTTTGGTCTAGCTTCTCATCAGATTCTAAAGCATCCTCAGGAATTATCTTCGGTACATGCTCCTCTGGGTTCTCATTAGGGATTTTAGGCTCAACTTCAAAAACAGGATCAAAAGGGCTACCACTTCTATTGGAGTCTTCTTCTAAATTTTCAAAACTATCTGAGGAACTGTCATCCTCCTTCCCAAGGTTAAGCTTTTTGTCAACAGTCTTACTAGCATTGACTCTGGAATCCTTCTCATCGTGATTTTCAAACAGCCACTCCGCGTCAAAATCCATCTCATGTTTGACTTTATTTAATTCTTTCATGTTAAATCCAAGCAACACACCAGGCTTGTACTTTTCACAATCACGAACACACTTCTTCCGTTTGTTACTAAAATGGGACGCAATGTCGCTCTTCCACAACCACAAGCTGGCTGCCAACTTCTCAATTTCTCTCCTGGTGGGATAGGGCTGTTTGTTGAAATACTTTGTTAGAAAGCCTTTTCTGGCTTCATAGGAATCATCTTCGTGACCCTTGGGGTCTAAAGCTAAAACGACAGGCTCTTCAGGCTTCTCTTCAAAGCAGCCGGGTGAATCACTGTCATCATCCAACTTTCGTTTTTTCAGCAAGGGAAACTCCATTTGCTCATAGGTGCGCTTCACAGGTGCCAGACCTGGAGACTGATTAAGCCGAGAGGGTGCGTTCGTCTTATCCTGGCCGTTCTGGGTCTTTCCGACACCCCTGCAGTGCACCAGATGTAGAGTGATAGTTGAGGCGGTCATGTTGCTGGTATACACACCCAGGCAGTGGATGCATTTGTAGGTGAGCTTTTTCTCCACTGGATGAACCGTCTGAATAACCTGGTGCCTCTCTCGTAAATGATGTGCAAGTGCATCAGATATGGGTCCTTTCAGGATTGAAAAGCAAAGAGGGCAAAGGGTTTTTCCAACATCTTTCTTATAGGGCACTGCAGCTTGAGGTGAACTTTTGACAGGGATATCTGCCTTTTCCTGAACTTTTGGTTGTGGCTTTGGAGGAACTGGAGGGTTATTCTGGGCATGGTAAGCAACAGATTCAGCGGGGGCGTCCCTCAGGTTATAGGTGGTTACCAGGAGATGGATGTTAGTGTGACTTCCTTGCTGCAATGTCAAATCAAAACTCAAAGTAGAATCCGTTTTAGGTCCCATCTCTTCGTCTATGTGAACCATTCGCATGTGTGCAGCCATCTTTTCCACATCATTGAAAGTTGACCGGCAGTATGGACAAGACAGACCATGAATTAACATATGGTTGAGCAAGGTGTCTGTGGGCAAATAGCGATTACAGTAGAGGCATTTGCTAGTAAAATTGTGTATCTTCATAATGTAATTGGCCACTGCTGGGACTTTCTCAGCTTTATGTTCTTTTTCGAAGTGCACACTATAGACATTTTCAGGAAAAAGCTCATTACAGATTGTACAAATTTTCCACTTTTGAGTTGCAGAAGTATTGGCTGGGGGGGGACCTGTGGCAGCTGCAGGAGGTTTGGAACTGGACTGACCTAATACTCTGGAGGCCTGTGACTGGGAGAGGGAAGGAGACTTTAACTGGCCTGATGAGAGAGAAGAGGCATTAGCAGCCTGTAGGGAGTATCTTGCTGGTGCCTGGGACCTCTGCTCTGTCCCAAGGCCATAAGATCTTCCATTTCCACTGGGGAGTAACTGTTTCACAGACTGAGACTGCTGAGGGATGGAAACTGGTGCATTGCCACCTAGACCCAGTCTCATTGATTGACCAACGCCGTAGCCCTGGCCTACAGACTTGACTCCATAGTTATTCTGCTGCAGGTGAACATTGGACATCATGTTGACTCCTGTGGAATTTAAGTTAGGCTTTGGTATTGACAGTCGATTCACCATCTGCTGTGATGGTAAAGACCGGACATTTCCAGAAGCAAGGGCACCAATTCTTGGTGGGAGTCCCATGCCCTTTTTCTCTTGAGGTTTGGGAGCAATTAGCATCAAGGGTTTGGATCGGGGAACCACCACATTTGTGTGTCCGATCATGGCAGTGACCTGATAGCCTATGCGTTCGTGGTCTTCGATGACATGTTGTACCAAAGCTTCATAGGACTTTGGCATAAAAAGGCATCGCTTGCAGTGAATACTACACTCTTCCCGGGCACTTGAGCCTAAGGGGACTGCACCATTGAGAGACTTTTCTCCTGCCTTTGCTATGTACGGTGCTGCCACATGCTGAAAATGTTCCCTGTAAATGTGCTTCCTAACTATTTCATAAAGAGGATCTCGGTAAGTGCACTTCTTACAGTAATAAACAGCTTGCTCTACACTGTCAGCCTGCTTAGGTTTAAGGCCATCGTTTTTGTTTTTATCTTTGAAAGTGCTGAGGCTGCTACTTGGTGCGCTGGCGTTTGGAGCATGAAAAATTTTAATGTGTGTTTCCAAAGTCTTTTTGTCTGCATTGAAGGTACAGTAGGGGCAATTAAGGAGAATTCTATTTTCAAAGTCTTCACTATGAACATTCCGGAAATGACTTTTGTAGGCAGAAAAGAATTTTGAGGAAAAGGGACAAGCACTGCAGCAAAAAGGTTTTGTCCGATAGTCCTAAAGAAAACAGAAACTGGAATCAGAATGCCAGTTCAGGTAGGCAAAAAACAAGACAACTTGCTACTTTTAGAATAACAACTCTTAATGCACTGATTTCAGCATGGTTGATTTCCTCTTGCAGAATAAATTTATGAAAGAGATACTCATATAAAAAAGCTATTTTAAACCAGCTATTTTAATTTGTGTCCCTACGTGTAAATTAAAAAACTCAACACCAAGTTCTTCCTCACTGTTTAGAAAAGACTAGAGTCATATTTATTGGTTTCTGACAAAACAAAGACAAATGGCTTCAATATAAACATTTTACAGTTAGAAATAATCATGAGTTGAGTGCAGTGGTACATGTAATCCCAGGTCTGCAATCCCAGAGGTTACAGACCCAGAGGCTCAGGAGGCTGAGGTTGGAGAACTTCCAAGTTCAAGGCCAGCCTCAGCAACTTAACGAGGTCTTAACCAATTCAGTGAGATCCTACCTTAACATAATAAAAAATAAAAAGGACTAGGGATGTAGCTCAGTGATAAAGTACTCCAGGATTCAATTCTTAGTACCAAAATAAACAAACAAATAAACAAAACAAACCATGAAATCATCCTCAGTTTGTAAATCAGGAACTTTTAGGGCTTCAGATTTATGATATAGTAAAATTCAGGGCTCAGAATATTTAATGCAATTAAGACAATTTACAAAAAAATATTTTTAGTTGTAGGTGAACACAATATCTTTATTTATTTTTTTTTTTAAAGGTGGTGCTGAGGATCATCGAACCCAGTGCCTCACACATGTAGGCAAGCTCCCTACCACTGAGCCACAACCCAGCCCTGCAATCAGACTTTTTTAAGAGATAAAGATATATCATTTTGAAAGTATACTATAGTATTCACACTTCACTGCTAATTAAAAACCTACTGATTTGTAAAGTCAGCTTTTTTCTTTAAGTTTTGCTATTCTTTTTCAAATAGGAGTAGCTTCAAAAGGGTAACGAAGTGACAGCTGCTTTAATTCAAATTAATATGTCAAATAAAAATGTCCTATAGACTGTGAAGGTTGCCTGATGTTATGCATTAATGCATATGGATCACACTGATATCAAATGATGATATGACTATATCATATAATTATATAATTCTGATATCATATGACTGTTTCAGAATTATGACAGTTAACAATTATATAGTTAAGTGCTCCTAAATGGAGACAGGGAAACATGCTCAAGGAGAGGTTGTTTCTCCCTAGAAATCTGCTTTTTTTCAGAGGCCACCTTGAACCAAAATGAGATTCTCTGGTTTTCCTCAAGACTCAACTCTTCTCTAGAATTAGGCTGTGAAACTCTGATTCATAAAGCTGACGTATGGTGTGCCCACCTAGAAAGCTCTCCATGAGAAGACTACTGGTTAATAACTTTCCCTAGAATATGAGTAAGAAAGAACCACCTAAACACCTGTGTTAGAGTCTGAAAGGATGAACTCCCTGTTGAGTATGTTCCAACAGATGAACAATCACTAGTGCAGGGTTAGAACTTTTAATTTGAATTAACAATCATTTTTTCCTACGGATAAACAAACACCGTCTATAATCCCCTCTTTCTTATTTCTTTCATTTATCTGTGATTGTTGGCACCACAATTATTGTTTTTAATGCCAATTTACAAAAAGTTAAATATCTGTCACTGCCATACTACAGTCACCTACCCCACCCTCTCAGAAACTGGGTGCCACCAACAGACAAATAAGAAAACCTTAATAGAAGAGTATGACCTTCCTTCTCTAGCAAACATAAAGATGGCAACACAGACAAGATAAACAGACTGATGGAGAAAACATTTCAGAAACAAAAGTATCAAGGCACTTGTAAAAGGGCAGTCTGCTACACCCCAGGCCTTCAAACTTTTTAAAAACAAAATCTTCTTTTGTTCTTTCACTTGGAAGTTCAGTACAGTGACAAAAAGACAAAAAGTTCTTTACTTTTCCCTACCACTTAGGAAAATACAGAGTTTTGCTATCTTCCATGTTAGGTTATTATCCATCAACACTGCATGACTGTGAAAGGCCTAGAGCCGAAGTTGGGGTGTACCGAGGATTACTGCCATTTGGGGAAGTCTTTTGTGCCACTTACCTGGTTTTTTGTAAGTGAAGGGTCCCACAGTCCTACATCTTCCCATGTAGTGTTTTTCAAATAAAAGTCATTAGGTTCAAACTGCTTAAAATCCTAGAAAACAGTGAAAGAAGTTTACAAAAACATAGTGGCATCAACTTTACATTTACATGTAAATCCTACCTCTTAGCCAGGGTTGGGGAGAAGCACAGGAAAACCAACCCCAAGACCTAAACTAGGAATGGTAAAGCTCTTATGATTTACAGAAAAGCATATGGCATTAAACATTTTATAGTTATACTCCCCTAGTGGTCAGCCAGGCTTCCAGTGAAACTGATGGAAGTTCTATTTAAGTAAAAAATCCAGTCACATGTCAATACCAGTAGAGCACCATGGCTCATCAAGGGTAACACTGGAGGGGGGTCTCTGATGGGTCAAAAGGGCCAACAAATGTTCACTAATAGCTCTGCAGGTGCGATATTCTGGTTCTGTGGGGGGAAAAAAGATATTTTGGGGGATGGAGTGGGAGATCAATCAGGAAGAAAACTCAGGACTTTTAAACCCAAAAAGGAGGAAAGAAAGCTATTCAAAGATAGTAAGCAATGTGATGTTAAGTTTGTAGTCTTCTGTAAAAAAACTAAATCCCCCCAACCCCCACCCCCCGCCCCCACAAGATAAAAAAATCTTAGGATAAAAATCCCCTTGCTTCTAAATGGTTCACAGTTTGGGGTGGAAAAATCAAGTACATGCAAATTCCAGAGTATATAATGTATATAGTAACAGGAGGAACAAATCAAACATAGGATAGAAAAGGTACCTTAATATTTGCATTATTTATTTCTGTGAAGATGACCCCACGGAGTGCAGAGTTGAATGGACTGTTTTATCTGGGCCGATCTACCTGAACTTGAGCGGTTGAAGAGGGGCTACTTCCACACTGGGGACCACACAACTAGAGAAGCCCACTTTTGAGAAGCTTCAGTCTCCACAATATGCCCCTGGAGTATTATTAGTGGGATTCAGGAAAAGAAAACTTGTTCTGTGAATGAATTGCTTTTATACTCCCAATTTTATTCAAACATGTTCCAAGCACCTCATGTATGCCAAGCACTGTGTAGGTGCTGGGGATAAACCGACAAACAAGGTGGTTATGGCCCCTGGCCAGGAGAAACTTACAGGTTAGTGGGGAAAACAGCTTGAAACATTTCTTTTCAATCAGAGCTTCTGACCAATTAACCATAAGATTTGGAGCAATGAGAACTGGAAAAGGAGGAGACATTGTACTGGTATCCCACTGGGCTGTATAAAGCTCACAGAATAAAAAGGCTAGAAAAACAGTTTGTAAAGGCCAAACTGTTAACAAGGGGAAGAAAATAGTCTCTGATGGGTCAAAAGGGCCAACAAATGCTCAAATCCTAAGGAAAGAGACGACAAGCACCCAAACAACCATGCCTCAACAATCAGAAGGTCACCAGAACATTCAGGCCTATCAGAATGAGAACAGGCTCGAGTCTACAGCCCCCTTCCTCAGCTGCTCCCCTCCTCCGACTGCAAACTGTAGATAAGAATTCCTATGCTCCCCCCCACCAAAGGTGGTGTTTGTTTTGAGGACTAAATTCATAGACAATCTTAAAGTACGTAGTGCAACTGTCTGACATGCTCCAGCCCTCCATGACAGCTGTGTCTGCTTCAGGATGCAAAGATCAAAGAGCCCATTTTAGGGACAAAGGAACAAGTTATGCTTAGAGTTTTGGCGAAGCTAATGCTATGGTTAGAATTCAGAATCACACCTAACATTTAGCGATCCTGACCATTGACACAAAGTAATGGATCAGAAGTGGAGTCACGTTAAAATTAAAAAAACGGCATGCTACTTACTTCTATATGTTCTTTACAGTATTCCAACCCAATGTCACTAAGTATTTTTTTCACAGTTTTCCGGGCTTTTCTTAAACTGCCAAGATTGTTGACAGGAAGTTGGAACATAGTTTCTATTGGAAAAAAAAATTTAAGTCAAAGTCAAAACATGTACAACTTGTAATATTTACTAATCCACTGATGATAGACTCCCAAACCCTGGCTCCATCTCACAAAAAAGGTGAGTAGATATCCTTATCTGGTATTGTTTGAATACTTAAAGCAGGCAGGCAAAAATAAGAGCTCTTATTTTTCCTATTTTTAATTTGAGATGGGGCTTTGCAATGCTGCCCAGGCTGGCTCAGAACTCACACTCCTCCTGCCTCAACCTCCCAAGGAGCTGGGATCATAGGTGTGCGCCACCACACCTGGCAGATGTTTTCTATTTTTTGACAGGATATTTTATGCTACAGATTGACTTCTGAGTCTAATCTGGCACAATTCTGATAGGCTTTAAAAAACCATTCCAGTGATGATCTTAAAGTTGAGAATTAGGAAAATTATACCAACCAATTATTTTTAAATCAAGTATGAGTGCTTTTCTCCTTGTGATGTTGAACCTCTGAAAATAGAAAGTGCTCAGCATTCCAGCATGATTACCACACAATTGTGTCATGAAAAAAAGGTTTTTGTGGTTTGGGAACTGTCCTGTAGTTTCTTTGTATTCCCCAAACTAAAGACACCAACAGCTGTGTGACTCACTCCTGAGCTGGCAACACACCTGGACAAAGGCACTCACTATGGCCACTGAATGAATGTTGAGATGGGGAAAGAAAAGGATGAGGGCTGTAGGCTAGCTTAGGGCATCCTTTGGAGAAAACCAAAAGCCTGTATGTAAGGGAATTGAAAAATTGTTTGTCCTAGTACATTTTATCAGAAATCTAGATCCATTTTCCCAAGTTTCTTAAAAACCAAGATTTGTGTTTAATAATAAAATAAAATTAGTAAAATTTAGGCACTTGAAAGATTGTATATTTTCCAAAGTGACCATAAAACTTTCATAAAGTCTGGCAAGAATTTGTCATCAATTTAATAATCCAAATCCAAAGCAATTTTTCAGAATAAAGTAGCTCTAAGAGCAAAACCAGCAAAAACAAATGCCAAAACACCAGGAATTCAAATTTAATATATGCAAATCTGGCCTTCTAATTAATAAAGGCTGTTAGGCTATAATACCACTACCATTTGTAAACTGCAAGTCAACTAATCCAATTGTAATATCATGTTACTTCATTTATTAGTCTACTCCAAAAATCAACATTAAACTATGAAAAATGGAAGGGAGGGGTGGAACCTACTAAAACAAACAACTCCCAGAAATTCTGAATTTGGACATCTTACTAACACTTAGAAGTCTGAAAATATCCTATACACAGCACTAAAAGTTTAACTGAACCCCAAAGAGAAAAGCATTAATTGAAACCACTTCTCAGCCTTATCAAGCTAACTTTAAACAGTGGCTTTGGTGTCCCTGTTTTCTCTGCCATGTCAGTACAGGAATATAAACAAAGCCGGTTCCCTTCTCATTATCCTCCAGCCAGGAGCTCCTCCTCCCACAAAGGGCTACATGCAAACGTCTTAGTCTTTTCTATGCCTACCACAACACAAACGACTCCTCAAGTCTCACCTGACTCTACCAGTCAATGTTAGAATTATGAGGGACCATGTGATACAGAACAAGGGTCCTATATTTTTTCATCCTATTACTGTTAAGAAATCTAAGTTCAAATCAATTGTTGGTTTCAGGATTCATTAATGTTATGATTTTACTTTTGTTTAAATTACCACAAGCCTCAAACCCCTTTGAATTAGAAACTTAAGATACTTCAGTGACTGAGGGCTGGGATCAGAATAAGAAATTGTCTTTGAGATCAAGGGCCCTTTCTTCACTTTTGAAGGTAAAGAAAAACAAAATGTTTACAATCATTACTCTTAGGAAGGAAGATGGCTTACAATAATGTCAGTCTCTATCCTAGAGATGAACTTTTGACAGCAGTTCAGAGGGATAGGTGTATTTTTTCCCTTGGTGGCTAATACACACTCTTTAGCCTTCTTGGTTATCACGATGGTCATTTTTACTATTATCCCAATCCTAATCCCAAGAAGAGCTTTCTTTCATCTTATGGCATTAAAAAAGGAAAAAAAAAAAAATGGATCATTTAATGGAGCTACACTCACTCATCTTCAGAGCACCTACACTTTGCCAGTCACTTTGTTGGGATGAGAGGTAAATGCCACACAGCCTGCCCCTTTAAAGATGCACTGCTGCTGGAAACGGTCCCAGGGGCAAGCAGAAGGCTCTGAAGCAGCAGAGTTCAGACACTTGTGCCAGTGGAGTCTCCTCTTAGAATCACCCTGCACCACACAGATGTGCTGTCAGCTTAGGAGGTCCCCCTCCACTGGAGCAAAATGTATATAACCAACAAGTCTCCTTATTGGGTGACCAATAAGAGTATTTAATCTCTGTAGATACTGATAAAAACAGAGTTGAACATATGCTCCAAACATGACAGTGATGCTAAAGGAGAGTGGGGACCTGCCACCACCTGAAGAAGGCAGAGGGAGAAAAGATGCCTAAAGGACAGCACTCCTCAGTGGCCCTGCCCCCAGGCTTTTCAGATATATGAGCAAGCACATTATTATTTCTGCTTAAGCTTTGTTCCAACTAAGTCTTGGGAGAACCACTGGGCAGTGCCATAGGAGAGGGAGTAATCAAGAGGGAAAATGGGGCATTTTATACTGAAGAGTCGTACTTGTGAATGGGTCTAGTTAGAAGTAGAGTTTGTCAGGAGATGTAGTTATTCTCAAAAATGCCTTTGTTCTATTTCATTAATCCAAAACAAAGAGAGGTATGGAAGGGGTCAAAACACTTCCTAAATTCTAAAAGATGTGGGGGAAAGTTTAATAACCTACTAGTAACAGTTAACAGTCGCAAATGTTGTATTTATGACCGAAAGTAGCTTTCTGGTAAGCATCTGCCATCTGATGAACTAGATTAAAACCATTGTTTTTTGAGAATGATTTGAATACATTTTTTTTGACTGGACTAACCATTCTCTTTCCTATGGATCTTGGCAAATTATACCCAAACCTACAGATGAGGTCCCAGACATTAAAGTGTATTAATCCAGGCCACCTCCTACTCATGGTGCTTTCTTAGAAAGCAAGAGTCAATGGCTGGAGATTCACCTAGGCCCTAAGGTGATGGATAAATGAAAACCACATAAATAATACCCACATTCCAACCCCCCTCCACCCCTCCAAATATCAAAAGCAAAAAGCACTTTTTTTAGTTTAAACACCAAGCAGGTAAATAAAGGTAAAGAGAGCTGGATCAACGGAAATAATCCCTCCGTAGGCCGACATCAATAATCCACCAAAGAGGCCATTAACTGACAAACCTATTGCAAACAACTACTCTGCCAAAAGCTCTGGGTCTAGTCAGTCCGTACTCAGGGTTGAAGGAGGAAAATCCAACAGATGACAGTGCCAATTTGGGAGCTTAGGTTAAGTTTGCAGGACACAATACAATACCACCTGTAAACCCTTGTCCAGGCATAGAAAAATCAATCCAGGAAGAAAAACAAGCCTCCAAATTAAATGTGTCCATAGTACATATTAAGCTATTTCAATTAAAAATCTAATACAGCGTTTTCTAGAATGTTTTCCTATTTTAATGTGCATTCTTACTTATGTTTCCAGAATTTTTAAAAAGTATTTTTTAATTGTAAAATGGATGTTTTAGTTAATTAATTTATATGCGGTGCTGAGGATCAAACCCAGGGCTTCACAAATGCCAGGCAAGTGCTCTTCCACTGAGCCACAACTCCAGCCCCTCCAGAATTTCTAACAGTATATGGTGCTTATTTAATGTCAGTATACATACAACAGCGAATATGACAATGTGTCCAATTATACATTGTAGGTATAATCCGCTCTTACACTGAGAACTACAAGGATGGTTCGTTATTTCTGGTAACACCTAAACACAAGCTGCTTACTCCAAATAAGTGGTTTTCTTTCTTTCTTTTTTTTTTTTTTTTAAGAGTATATTCTTTTTTAAAAAATATGTATTTTATTCTTTTTTTTTAAAATGTGGTGCTGAGGATTGAACCCAGGGCCTCGCACGCGCAAGGCAAGTGCTCCACCACCCAGCCCCAGTCCTCAAACCAGTGGTTTTTCAATCCCCGACTTTTCTGCAGTGCTGGGAAGGGACCCAGGCAGGGTCTCATTCATGTTAGACAGTGCTCTACTAAGCTACACACCAGTGCACCTTTTTTTCTTAAAAGTTTTGAAACCCTCATTTCCAAAGGAATCTTAAGTGAAATATTAGAGATAAAAAGTGGAGAGAGATGGTTACATTTTAAAGGGAGAGGGAAAAATATCTTGCTTCTAAGCCTCAATCTCCTTGAAACACAACAGTCAAATCAAGAAAGTGGTATAGATTTATGCCAAAGGGACAGTCTACTGAGATGCAGACTCTGGTGCCCAGTGGGCAATTCTACTAAAGCAAAATTTTAACAGTTCTCTGAAAAATCTCTATAAATAAAATTAGTCTGATTAGTTTATGAAGTTGCAGGAGTCCACACAGGAAGCTCAAAGGATCAGAACATACATTTATACTGTGATGCTGTCTTTTTAATATTTCTACATTAAAGTTATAAAGAAAAATACAGTGGTAGAAGGGGTTTAAAGGCTGGAAATGATGCTACTTACTACTAGTGAAGAAAAATGGCAGCTAAACAGAAAATTAAGAAGACATTCAAGTTACTACTTTATATAAACTATGTCATTTTTCATAACATTAGCAACCCAAATTAATATGTAGGAAACTCAGACCCTTGATACTGAACTAAAAATGAAGTACTCCAATTAATGCTGATGCTAGCTAATATCTATCTAAAGATCTCATAACCCCCATTGAGGTTCCAGAGATTTTTGAAGTTTCTTTAAATCAATGGGCTAACTTAAAATGCTAAGTTATGCTGGCAATCTTCTAAGGGGAGGCATTTATAATAAGATTCTTATAAGGAGAATCAAAGCATCAGTTACTTTACTGCTGCTCCTGATAACA